ACCCCAGAAAATCTAAGTGAAATAGCTGTGGTCTTGTAGACTTAATGTACAAAAACAAATCTGAAACACGATGAGAAAAAGTTCTCCAGATCATGTTGATGTTACCTGACACCAAAATATAGTTTAAAGTCGACTCCATTGATATAAAATGAGACTGACTGCAGGTGTTCAGCAGCCTGAACATCCTGTCTATCTGGGGTTGGCTCGAAGGTTTTTTGTATTGACTCTGGGAGACTCTGCAGCATTGTGTCTTCTGGCTGCACAGAAATACACACCACTGTCGCTTAATGAAAGATTAGAAACACTGAGTTTGGAATATTTACGTCCCTCTCCGTTAAAGCTGATTTTTCCTTGGATGTCAACCTCGATGTACTGGAAGTTTAGATTGAGATATCCCAGGTACTTTGGAGCTTTGTGTTGCTCTTGTTTGTACCAGAGAATGTTTTCAAAGTTTTCTATGTTGTGTGAGCAGTTGATCTCACTGTCAACAGATTCTCCAGTTCTCTTAAAGATGGAATGAGGCGTTTGGACAATATGTTTGGTTTCGTAGGCACCTGTGGAAAAAGAACAGAAGAGATTTCAATTGCTGAAATTATTAGCTGTGCGCGGCATCATCCTCTGCCAATAAAACTCACCCTTGTTCCCTGGGACATGAAGGAAACAAACGATGAAGACAATGAAGATCATATTTAAAACATTCAGAATAGAGAGTCTATCATCAGCCTCCTGTTCCTGTCAGTTAAGCTTCTGCGGATGAGAGCAGATCACAGTTTCACTGTTTCATCACTGTTGAGAAACAGGGGAGGTGTCAGTGCATTCAACTGGAAAGCTGCAATGTCAGATCTATTATATTAGGATTTTTAGGTTACGGTATACGTGACAGACCAGAGACACAGAAGAATAAAACCCATGTTTCTTTTTTCTTATCTCTCTGTTTCACTTATTTTCTTTTCAGCTAGTGTTTTGATAATCATGCTTTCAGTGGAATGTGTTATGGTACAATTTAAACACTTTCAAGGGTCTGGCAATGATTATGAGTTATTATCTTATTATAATTATGTGGAGGGTATATACATGCTTTTGTTTACAATTGATCTGCTCGGACTCTGGGAACTTAGGACAGGTATCTTTGAGTTAGAGTTTAAAACAAACTTTATTTCAACAAAAACAAATAGTCTAGAGAAGGTTAAAACTGTGACAGTCATCTGATAAAATCTTCAGTTTAGATGGAGGCTTGACTGCAGGTGTTCGGGCTCTTGAACATCCTGTTTGTCTGGTGTTGACTCAAAGGTTTTTGTGTTGACTTGAGGGGACTTTGTAGCACTGTGTTGTCTGGCAGCACAGAAAAACACACCACTGTCGCTTAATGAAAGGTTATTAACAGTGAGGTCTGAGTTTGTTTGACCATTTCCATTAAAGCTGATTTTTCCAGATGTATCCTCCAGGTTCGGCGAATTCCGATTCAGATATCCCAGAAACTGTACATTGTGTTTGTCTTGTTTGTACCAGAGGATGAAATCGAAGTATTTTATGTTGTGTGAGCAGTGGATCTCACTGTCAACAGATTCACCAATTCTTTTAAAAATGGAAGGAGGCATTTGGACAACATGTTTGGTGTCGTTGGTACCTGTGGGGGGGGGGAGAGGAGATTTAAAATTCAGAAATCATCATCAGCATTGTCTTGTCCTGCTCATGTGGTTTTTCTTACCCTTATTTCCTGGCAAATGGAGAAAACAGAATATGAAGACCATGAAGATCATGTTTAAAAAGCTTTCCTCACAGGTTCTGTGGATTCAGCACCAGGGGTTGAGAGTGCATCAATATCACCTTATTAAAGAGGGGTGGTGTCAGCCAAGGGGGTGGTGTCATATTGTAGTCAATAGAAGTGTAGGTCTTTGTTGAGGTTTGTTTCCCCCTGCTGGTGTAAAAAATCCTGCAGGGTGATGATTTAAAATGGCTCTTCAGCTTTTTACCTCTATTCCAGTATTACGTTTTCCAATATGGCCATCTGTGTGACATCAGTTGGACCTGTGTGTACAGGACAGAAAAGGTCAAACAAGTTTATTTTAATTTCCTGTACATAAAAATATTAACAGTGATTTTTAACATTTGCTCGTTACTCCTCTTGTAAAATAATAAGTCAGTCACACAGTGTTCTGGTAATTTTTTGTACTGTACCTTTCATCCAGAGCAGAAAACGGAACAGGCTGGAGACACCATGTGTGATAATATCCATGATCATAACGAGTCACAGAGTCGCACACATGACTGTTGGCATAGTTACAGTGAGACGAAGAGTGTGGTGTGAGATCAGAGAATGTGTGGTTCTCAAGTTCCCCCTACAGTGCATAAGATCCATAACCTTGACAACAGTTATGAAAACTGTGGTTCTTGTTCAACTGTCAAGTGTATCTGTGTCACTGTGTTGACTCACAGCACAGAAATACAAGCCCTTATCTCCTGGCTCTAGATTCTTCACCGTCAGTGTCCCACTCTCAGATGAAGGTTTTGTGATTGAGAATTTGTCTCGTCTGGAATCTCCATCGTCGTAACTGCTGCCACCTACAGATGATGTGATTTGTTTCATAGTTTCTCCCGGCAGCTGTCTGTACCAGTCCATCAGGTAGTAATTAATACCCTTGGTGTGGCTGCAGTGTATTGTTGCATTGTCGCCCTTTGTCTTCCACAGTGTGGAGCTCTGCGTGACATCATCCGCATCGGTTAGATCTGCGTGTTAAACAGTAAATGTTACCATGTGTGCAACTTTTTACCTCTCTGAAACAATTGTCAATTTCGCCTGTCATCGCTAAAATAATACCACTGTAGTGCAGTGAGATCCTTTCCTCTACTTTACCTGTCATCCAAAACAGAACTAGAAATAAGGTGAGTTTGTGACTGATAACGTCCATGTTCTGAGGGTTAGAGCCTCAAATGTGAGTTTAGACACACACATGAAGAGTTTTAGGTGGGCGTGTCTAAACCCTGTGTGACGTCTACTGCTGCTGTATAAAACTCAACATGGTTCAAGAAAATCATCATATAACACAAACACTTGGCTTGTTGCATTGGCTCCTTGTTTGCTTTCATATTAAGATTTTATGTTTGATATTTAAGGCTTTACACAACCAATTCCCTATAAACATCAAGGATGTACTAACTCGCATATTTCCAGAAATGTAACTTTGTCCCTCAACAGAATTCTACTGTTTGATTTGGTCCACCAGATGGAGCTGTTTTCATACTTTAATGTTTTAAAAAATGACAGAATTCAGACTTGGTGTGTCAAAGGTTATTAGAAGCTGAATTAGAAATAACAAGTGCAAGTAATTAAAATTTAAATTCTGCCCTCTGGAGTTTTAAAACCCAAACTTCTGATGGTCCTCTGATCACCTGGCTCCAATGCCTCAGTGGTTTCTGAGTCACTGTGGAATACACTGAATGCAGTATTCATTCACATTGCTGTGGTTGGATTTCACAGACACTTTATGAGTGTACACAGTTCAGAGATATGTGAGATTTCACAGGCCAGTAATGAACGTCCATGCTGCCATGTCTGGCTGTGTCGTGACTGGTGCGAGGGGGAATCAGGAGCAGACCTTGGCTTCTCCTACATACGCTGTGGGATTTAAAATCAGGAATGATTATCGGATTTAATCACTCTTAGATTGATCCCAGTAAAACAAACAAACAATATTATCTAATTTGTCCATCAAAGGCTTTTTTCTTCATCTGCTAATATTTAGTTTGATAAAATTCAGTTAAGATCTTGACCCACTTGACTTAACATGATATTTATTTACAAAATGACACACGAGCAGGAACAGGAACTCCAAAACCTTTTTTCAGATGGACTCGGTGACTTTTTCAGATGAAAAATTATGACTCGCAGGAACATGATTCTGTGGTAACTCTTTTAGTGTCCAAAACAAAACCTGCGGTCAAATTAATTTACTACAGAGAGAACAAATCCACTTTTAGTCCTAAAATACTAAAACCCTGCGAAGAAAAGGTCTTTTTGCGTAACAATTTCATAATACAATGGTTACAAAATATAAATATCAATGAATCAATCAATACACTTTCAATTTGATAAATATAATAATGTTGGAAAACCACATCAACTGACGCTGAGTCAGCTTCATCATGACGCACACAACCTTCTCTTGTGACTCAATGGTTCAGGTTCTCCTCTGCCACTGGACTGCAGTTCACCAATATTACTAACGAGAGTTTTATTGTTGTTTAAGAAACAGGTTTTTTTTTACTTGAGATGCTTCTGGAAATTTTTTTTTTGAGTAACAGGCAGCATAGACAAAATTCAAAACCTACACAAATCAAACCAAAAAACAATTTGGTTGAATACCAATAGGATTTGGTGAAAACAGTTTTGGCAAGAATTGGGTGAACTGACCCTTTAACAGTGCGACTGTGACCACATTTAAAATTGGTCCGTCAGGTGAAAGTGTTGAATCCAATCTTATTGTGCAAAGGAATGCCCTCCGCTCCTCTGAACTCTTCTGCAATGTCGTCAAATGTGCGACCTTTTGTCTCCGGGAGGCGAATCCAGGTGAAGACGAAGGCGAGCAGAGCCACGGTCATGAAGAGGAGGTAGATGAACTCCCCACAGATTTTCTGTTTACGAGAGAGACAGCACAAGATATTTAACAGAATAGTCTTTTGATAAAATAATTTAATCGTAAAGCAACACTGTAACTTTTACTACACAACAGTGCCATCTGCTGCTACACGCGATGATTACTGCGCTCTATGTACAAGCGAAACTTTACGAGAAGTAAGAAAAAAAGAAAAGAGTTTCAGGTTGGCAGACATTTCTGCTGCTCAAACAGAAGGTTAGCTGTCCCCAGTGTTTTATCACTATTATTTTAACCTGTTTTTTCGAGGATTTAGCAACAGATACACATTAAGCAGATTTATGTCCTTTTTTATAGTCTACATATGTATATACCATATTGAACAGATTGATAGTATATAATTAACCGACATGCCTCTAAGGTGCAAGCAAACTGGCAAAAGCAAACAAGAAATCCCCCTCTAAAGTTTCCCCTGAAGTGTAGCTCAGTTGTACAGCGTTCAGGGCAACAGTGGAAACCTACCAGCAATGGAGGAAAGAGGAGAGCCAGAACAAACTTCCCACCCCAGTTGAGCATGCTAGTGAAGGCCATGGCGATGGGTCTGCCGGGCTGGTCGAACAGCTCGGCAGCGATGAACCAGGAGATGGGACCAGGGCCCAGCTCGTAGGCTGAAATCAGGCAGAAAACCAGTAGGACCAGGACGCTCCGCAGCTGTGGGGCCAGGTACTGGACGGTGGAAGACAAGTTACTGACATTTTTACCTTAAAGGAGGTTTTCATCCCTGTCATCCCTTTGTTGGTTTGTTTTTCTGAAGGATTATGCAACAACAGATTTCCCACAGAACTTAGTGGAAGGATGAGACATGGGCCAAGAAAGTCTCATTGAATTTAGCTGTGAGATAGATCAAGCATGTTTAGGGAACTAATAACTATGAGTGTGTTCAAATTGGTTTGACTTGTTTGGATTTAAAAGGGACAGTTGGGCCTTGGCAGATGTACATTCCTTTAAATACTATCAATTATTACATAGTACCAGGATCTATAATTACACCCCTTTAACCATTCTAGCAAAAAATTATTTTTTTCCTGCACAAATGATAATAATAATATATATTAATTAATAATTAATATTGTATAATAATAACAATGATCTTACCAGGACAGAATCAACTATGGTCATTAGTAAGTTGCACACAGCAATGGAGATGAAACCAGTCAGGAGCAGTCTCCTCCTCCCTGCCCTTTCCATCAGGAAGAACTGGAGAGGAAAGAATAACACAGTGGTGACTCTGCTCACATTTCATCCAGCTTTTTGAATTAACATGCAACATTATCCTGTTGTGGTTCAAGCTGTAAAACCATTCATGAGGAAACGCTGACACCACTTTATCTTTGGTCCAAGATTTTGGTGCAGCTTGTGGCAAAATCAACAAAATGTGAATCAACTTTTATTTCAAGTCTGTTTACAGTTTATCAATCAGACTCTTGAGTTAATGCTGAGCAGCCAAAATACAAATGATGTAAAATCATATTGTTGCCGGTGAACAAAACACACCAGGGGAATGTGGAGCTGTAACATAAAGGATTAGCATATTTTCTACTTACTGCTACCAAGGTGAAGGTCACATTGACTGCTCCTACGCCCAGAGTCAGATATTTAGCCTGGTCAAAGTTGGCCTGGAACATTCTGGTGGAGTAATTGATGATCTTGAAGAATAGAACAGAAGTGTACTTAAGTTTAGTGAGTTCCTGGGGCAACGCTTGTGTTTTTTAGGAAAGGAGGTATGTGACACACTGCCCCAGAATGAGAGAGGGAGCTGGGGAGAAGTGCTGAGGTTGAATAATTTATTGAGGAAATATCACAGAGCTGCAGCTAAACATTCATCACAGTCAGCAAGTCATGCATAAACCTGAACTTCAGCCTGAGAATATTTGTTTTGTGCTCACAAAGGCCACAGTAGTATTACTTAAAACCAGTTCACAGTTTTTAAAGTCTCATCTTTCAAATTCTAAAAAAAAAAGCTTTAACGAGTCGGACCATTGCCCTTCATGAAACTTCACGCTAATAACAAATTAGCCTCATTCGACTCACCGCGTTGAATCCGGACAGTTGGCTGCCTAAGTTGATGAAGAGGACGATGATGATTGGCTGCTTGTATCTGCGCTTCTTGAAGAACTCGTGGATGGTGACACCTGTTTGAGTGTGGGCGGCCTCCTCCTTCATCTCCTCCAGCTCAGCAAACACCTTCTCTGTGCTGCCTCTCAGCCTCAGCAGAGCTGCAGAGTTGAAACAAGTATACAGAAGTATCAATCAGAATACTGACAAGGTGTTTGAGGAAATTCCGGAGCAGTGTGTTCTATTACATACACAAAAAAACTCTTGAGGAACGGAGGAACTGAAAAATATGTTCCCTTTAAAAGGATTTTCCTGGAAGTCAGCCACAAATCTGAAAGCTGGTAATAAACCTGAGTTTCATAAAACTCCAGAGACAGTGGCACCCACCAGCCTCTGCCTTGCTCTCCTCTCCGCGGTTGAAGAGCAGGTATCGAGGGCTCTCGGGGCAGAAAGGAAGGACCAGGTACTGTGCCAGCGCGGGAACAAGAGACAGGGACAGCATCATGGCCCAGTTATGCTCTGTACCCAGCACTGTCTCCAGACCAGCCACCTGCAGCAAACAAGTGCAGGATTGTCTCACTCTTTCACTTTATATCCAGATATTTACTTGTCATAATATTTGGCCTGAAAAGATTTCAACAAAATTTTAAAGATATTTTTGAAATATAACAATCGCAAAAAGGCCTAATGGCTGTTTCGTGACTTCCAGCTCACTCACCATTCCCACAAGGATTCCCAGGGCGAAGGACACTTGGTTGAGTGTAGCAAAGGCCCCTCTGAGGTGGGTGGGGGACACTTCCTGGATGTACAGGGGATTGAGGCTCATCACGAGGCCGCAGAACAGGCCGAACACCAACCGTCCCAGGATGAGAACTTCAAACGACTCACTGGCTTTGGATGCAACCATCAGACACGCTCCCACCACGGACAGAGCATTCACTATTAGGATGGAGTTACGCCTGAAGGGGATGATGTGAGAAAAGAAAAGATAAAATAATTATAGAAATGATAATTTGTTTCTGTCTTTCTTACCTTCCATAGGAATCTGCCAAAAATTTGACTCCCAGTGAACCGAGCAAGGCTCCGAAGTCCTTAATGCTGACTGAGAGGGACCACAGCAGAGTCAGACTGTGATCTGACATCGTCTCGTTGTGTCTGGCTCTCCAGGTGTGATTGAAGAACTCTTCAATGATCTAAACAGCAATTGTAGAAAAAAAAAAAAAGGGCAATCTGCATCATTAAGGATCAATAGAACTTAAAATCATTCTTTCATGTTTTCAGTTAGTTGCCAATTAAGGTTGTAATCAAAATTTTTATTTAAACATTTATAATTTATTTAAACAAACAAAAATTTAATAGTAAGTAAAAAATCTGCCTCAAGAGTTCAGTCCAGACAACGTTTAAAAAGTGACTACTGTCAACCCAGAGGGGCCTGGAGCTGAGCAGGACAGATCAGTAAATGTAATTAAGATATGATTCAATATTATTTTAATTTCCACCTAACTCGTGTTCATATTCCCCCTTAGCTCCTGCGTGTCTTCTCACCTTGGCTGGAGCGTTGATGTTGCCCGTGTGGTATCCAATCTGCAGGGAGCCCAGCACCGCCGCCAAGATGGAGGTCAGTAGCGTCGCTGTCAGATGGCCCTGTGCAGAAGCCATGTAGGGTGACATTTACTTATAACTCTTTTAAGTGGTCAGTAGTTTTCTGAAGAATTTACCTCTTAGATTTTTACTTCTCCCTCCTTTTTATGTGCAGCGAAAATAAGACCACACAAAGTAAAATAAACAGTAGCTACAGAAAAAGTCAATTACACTCATAAGTGACCACATGGTTATTTGTAAAGGTCAGTGGTGACAAGGACCACAGTATTTTCACACACTCGCCACATGTCCAGAATTTTAATTACCACAGGTCAGTGTTAATGATCTTTCTGACGAGGTGTGTTCATTTGGAGAAAAGTGGCTAAAACAAACTAACCTTCTGACACGCCATTTGTTTGGTGAGACTGCGGAGTCGCTCCCTCGAGGTTTAGGTGCATTTATTTTCTTATACCTTCCTCTGCTGAGAAAAACCCAAATGATGTAAGAGTTAGAATTATGCACAAGGTTTTTCTCACGTAGATAATACACACGCGATACTAACTAACTAACTAACAGGTTCCATAAATAAATTTGATATTTTAGAAATGTGTCAATATCAATGTCATTTATTTAGCATATTTAAAACAACTTGGTTGACCAAAGTGAAAGGTAAAACAACAATACAGCAATACGCAATATATCCCAAAAACTAATGATTACTCAGTTATAATTTTGAAAACATAATTTTATCATCGTCTCAGCAAAAACATTTACAAATTTAAATCCACACTGAGAAATGTCCTGTTTGTTTGAAGACGTTTTTGCTTTGTTTTTTGAGAATATTTGTCTAAACCAAATTCAATCCATATAAATGTGCATATGTACTCGGTCTATGTTTGATCTCTACGACAACTTACCTGTACTGTGCAGGAAAAGCAAAAAAAATCTATTAAAGAGGTGGAATTCCAGCTGGTTTTCTCTTTGAGGAGGGTAGAGGTTCAGAATAATGTGCCTGGAAGCTGCATATGTTCACAACAACTGTCGTTAAGTGAAATCAGAAATTTAAAACAAAAGCCAAATAAAAAAATATGAATAAAGATTTTGCTCCATAAGTGCCTGGTTTCATCAGTGCATTGTTCTGACACATACAAAAAGACTTAGCGATATTAACATGCATGCACTGTTTCAAATGTTCTCACCGGTTCCGGAGCGTCACACGTTGATCACTTCTTCATCCCTGTATTTCCAATAACAGTTTGACCGTGTACATTTTCCTGAGTGAATATGCAAACACCATCACTGTTAACTGTGTTCTCACACACACACACACACACACACACACACACGTATATGCACACAAAGACACGCAAACGCACGGACACATACACACACACAATGATGAAGTCACACCTAGCTGGTGAATTTGGGGCAGGCTCGACAGAATTGCAGCCGCAGGCCTCCTCTGGTTCACATGGATCAGCTGATCGACATCCTGAGCTCTCACTGACGGAGTATCAGTGAACCAGTGACACGTGTGTGTGTGTGACTTTGTCTATGTGCTGTGATGATGATCAGGTGATGATGGCCGCCTCATATTTACAATTGTCTTTCTAGGAACTTAAAGAATAGATTACGTATTCGCTGAAAAATAATGAGTTTGTAGCTTTGAATCTTTTACCGCAGTTTCTAATCCTCCTTGTAAAATATGCCCCCTGGAGGCTGGCCTGTGTCAGTAGATGGGACATGGAACCAAACTTAAGAGCCTATGTGCACATTACATGAATGTTTCGATGGTTTCTATCCTATGAGGTGGTTCTGATCACACTGTTTGTTCACATGTCCTTTTTTCTGGTAAGTTGATGCTGTATGAACATGCTCATGTCAACATGCAAAATATACTTAACTGCACATTGTGGGTGTGTCTTTGTAGGTTAGTCTTAAAAGACAACTCCCATCACACAATACTGTGAAAATGTAGAAGCTCAAGGATTTAACAGACAGTATGAGGACCAGCCTCTCCTCTTCCTCTTCTTCCTCGTGCGAGGGTTGGCCGACAGAGTGTGTAAAAGCTCTGGATGAATCCACAGACTGAAATGATCACATGCGTAGAAAGGGTTTTAAGTATTTAAGCCTTTTTAAAGTCTTGTTTAAGTCTTGTATATTAACTATATCCAGTTTATTCATGTTCATTATGTTGTGTTTATATTTGTGCTCGTATGTGTTTGTGAATTTGTGCGCAGCCCTGTGGGTGTTTTGTATTTGTATGATCACTGAATATAAAATACTTCATCCATAAATCATACGTAACTATTATTTAATTTCCGATCTATGAAGTCATATAGTTCTTAAAATCCTAATTCTCATTAGACCAGTTTTAGTGTTTTAATGCTTCACTGGCATGTGTCGTCTTTCTCTGCTTCACATCAGTGAAGATTAATTCAGTCCAGTTTTGTGAAATGATTATTACACGAGTATGTTTTTGTTTTGTGGGCATGTGTGAATGTGTAAAAACATCTTATATGTATATATATATGCATCCATGAGGAACATCCACTTGTACAATATACAGGTAAAAAAATCATTATGTGAGACACACACACACACACACACACACACACA